GGATGACGTCATTGGTCGGGTCATAAGATCTTCTTTCAATTTGGACAGCAATTTGGACTTTCGCTTTGGACTCTACTCGTAAATTCACAAAACTAAGGCATCGGATCGCGCTGTATCGATTACCTCGTCTTCTCCTGCCTTCTCCCTTCCCTCGTTCTCGTTGTCCACAGTGCAGCAATAACACCTCGCCCGGATCTCGAGCCGATCTCTCGAATCTTCTGCAATCTGACTTGTACGTTATACATGAACAATTATCCGCTGTAGCGCTTATCGAGGTGTATCCCAGGTCCCTTTCATCACTCCATGCCCGGCCCTGGTGTGATTTCAAGACCGAAGACAAAACATTCCTCCTGCCACATATAGCACTCGTCATCGGTCTACCACATATATGAAGGAATGATATCCCTGCCATCGTTCGTTCTTCCTTCCTTCTGTCGGTCTCGTAAACAGCCCGGTACCTGTGAGCGCATTGACATACCTTCTCTAGAGCGCCTCAACTCCCACCGGATCCCGGGGCTCGCTCGCATATCATCCCGTCCGTCGACGTCTCGGACTCTAAAAAAAAAACACTTTGATGCATCTCGGCGCCCGCTCTTCTTCCGCTCCAACTTACATATCAAAATCGTCCATCCAGCCCACCCGCGTGGTTGGTGCGTGTCGTAACTCCTCCGCTGGGTTAATTTTGGTTAATTTTGGTTCCGCTATCTTATCTCGTGGATCTCTCCTCCCACTTGCACCAAACCAAAAACCGGTGGGAATTCTAATACTGAATACTGTGTTGACCGATGACCGGGTCTCTGTTAAAGTACGTGCCCAGCTTAAGCCTCTCGTTAGGTACGGTATAAACCCAACACCTCATCCAGATATCCAACCACCCGATAGCGCATGGCGTGCACCTGCGCAGCTTTGCTGGATAAGTCGATAATTTAAGCAGGAGTCCTCCGTTCGATTCGGGGTCGGGCGCTTATGGTGGAGCCAGCTGTTCCTTTTTTTTTTCTTTCGTCAAAATTGTGTCCTCTTGTATATACGTATATTCCTGTTCTCTGCACGGTCCACCTATAACCCCCGACTGCAAAATCCATTAATTCAACTTTATCATGGTCGACTAACACTTCGACTATCCGCTGCTGTATTTTGCTCCGGATCCTATAGATTCAACTCCCACGCAGGGTATTCGACCACCCGATAGCACATGGTGTGCACCTGCACAGTTTAGTGGTGACCCGAAAATAAGGCAGGAGTCCCCCGTTCGACTCGGGGTCGGGTGTTGTACGACAAGAACTCTTGTCTTTTTTTTTTTTTGTTCCTCCATGCCTTCCGCCTGTCTCCAGTCTCTTGTCTCTTTTCGCTCTCTCCCAGAGAGATTCTGCAGGTTCAATGTCAATTAAATTGAGAGAACTTCAACCAGTGTTCAACTCCGCAGGTTTCCTCACATACATTCAGCCCAGGAGATATATAGGAACTTAACCGCCCGATGGCACATGGTGTGCATCTGCCAACCTTGCTCGTGTAGCATGAAATTATTCAGCAGGAGGCCCCGTTCGATTCGGGGTCGGGTGATAGGTCAGGACTGCCGTCTTTTTTTTCCTTCACAGATTCCTGATCTCCCTGTTCTCTCTGCACGGTAGTGAATTGTCCACATATAATCCCCGACTGAAAAAATAATAGCAATTCAACGTTGACCTCTTTTGTCTGGGCCAATTAAGACTCCAACCTAATTTTGTTCGCATGCATTCAACCATAGCTTGAGGGTATTCGACCACCCGATAGCACATGGTGTGCGCCTGCGTACTTTGCGTTGGGAGAACTGAAATAGTGCAGGAGTTCCCCGTTCGATTCGGGGTCGGGTGATGTGCTTATCGAATTATACTTTTTGGTTTGTTCCTCCGTACTTTCCTCCTCTTGTCTCTTCTCGCTCTCCGAGAGATATTTGGCAGGTTCAAGTCTCTCAAATAAAATTATATAACTTCAACCAGTGTTCAACTCAGCAGTTTTTCTCGCATAAACTCAAGGCCAGCTTGGAGGTATGCAACCACCTGATAGCATATGGTATGCACCTGCCTACTTTGACTGATGTAGACAATATTATTGAGCCGGAGGCCCCGCTCGATTCGGGGTCGGGTGATTTGAAAGTTGCGTCCTTTGATTTATTCCTTGAATTGGAGACGTCATATAATGCAGGAATCCCCCGTCTGATTCGGGGTCGGGTGCTTATGGTGTAGCCAGCTGCTCCTTTTTTTCTCTTTCTTTCGTCAAAATTGTATATACGTATATTCCTGTTCTCTGCACGGTCCACCTATAATCCCCGACTGCAAAAAAATCAAAATCAACTTGATCTTAAACCTCGACTAAACCATCCGCTACTGCACCTAATTGGGCTCGCATGCATTCAACCACCTAACGAAGTAGCCGACCAACCGATAGCACATGGTGTGCACCTGCGCGGTTTACTGTCGAAACCTTCGAAATAAGGCAGGAAGCCCCGTTCGATTCGGGGTCGGGTGATACGCGGAGAAACTGCTTTTTCTTTTTCTAAAAAAAACTTTTGGCCCTCTGCTCTCTGTCTCCGCAAAATTCTTTTATCCTCTGGGTTCAACACCAGAACTCTCAAGTTCAACCTCGGCTCAACCCTCTCAAACACTGAACCTCTCTGCGATGATAAATCATCGATGCCACCAAATACACCTTCACTTTTGTTCGCATAACTTGAACCCCAGGTTGGAGGTGTTCGACCACCCGGTAGCACATGGCACGCGCCTGCGCAGCTTCATTGACCACATCCCGAAATAAGGCAGGAGTCCCCCGTTCGATTCGGGGTCGGGTCATGTGCAGGTGTTCCACGATTTTTTTTCTTTTTTCTTTTTTCTTTGTAGATCTTTTTCGGCCGCTTGTCCCTGTTCGCTGTGTAAGACCATCCACCTACCATGTTCGACTCCAAGAATTACTATCAATTCAACCCTCGTCAACTTCGACCACCACCTCCCTAATTTGGCTCCCATGACTTCAACCACAGCTTGAGGGTAGCGACCCTCTGCTCTCCATTTCCACGAAATTCCTTTGTGAACTAAATGCTCTGGGTTTAAAGTTCAACCTTATAGCTCAACCCTTTTGAAAAAATTGAGATGAATCGTTGATATCAACACCGTGACTAAATGCGCCTTCACTTTTGTTCCCGTGGGTTCGACGCCTGGACCGCCCGGTGGCGCATGGCGTGCACCTGCGCGGGTTAGCTCGATGTCTCCGTCATTCAAGCAGGAAACCCCGTTCGACTCGGGGTCGGGTAATCACCAGCTTCATAGTAACCTTTTTTCTCCCATGCTTCCTTTCATTCACTTCGTCCGTTCCCTAGGATTATCAAATCAACTGCTCTTGAGTTGGGATATTAAATTATCCAGCCCACTTGCAGGAAGTTGCGACCTGCTCTCTCAGAGTCTCTCTTTCGGTTGAGTGTAAATTCAACCATTTAACAGGGTATTCAACCACCCGATAGCACACGGCTGCACCTGCGCTGTTTCGAGCTGGCACTGTGAAATAAGGATGGAAACCCCGTTCGATTCGGGGTCGGGTGCTTATGGTGTAGCCAGCTGCTCCTTTTTTTTTTCGTCAAAATTGTGTCCTCTTGTATATCTATATCCCTATTCTCTGCACTGTGGTAAACTGTCCACCTATAATCCCCGACTGCAAAAATCCAAATTAACTGTATCTCAGTCGACCAACACTTCGACTATCCGCTACTGTACCTAATTTCGCTCGCATAGATTCAACTCCCACACAGGTTATTCGACCACCCGATGGCACATAGTGTGCACCTGCGCAGTTTCAATCTAACAACTTGAAGTAAAGCAGGAGTCCCGTTCGATTCTCATGTACCGCCAGGTCGGTGTCATTTTTTTTGGGGTTTTTTTTTTTGGTAGATCCTTTTCAGTCGCTTGCAAGTCGCTTGTCCTTGTTCTCTCTGCACGGTCGTAAATTATCCATATATAATACCGACCTAGAGTACTTTCAACTGCAAACAATTCATATTAACTGAATTCTCGACCACGACTTCGCCCATAATTTGGCTGGCATCTAATAAGACAACTAACCACCTGGTAGCACATGGCGTGCGCCTGCGCCGTTTTAATGTGGCGTTCTGATATAAGGAACCAGTCCCCTGTTCGATCCGGGGTCGGGTGATGGGTGAACACAGCCCATTTTCTTTTTCTCGTGGATCTTTTTGCTCGCCAATAGATCCTTGCACACGGTCGTGAATTTTCCAAATACACCTACCAGGTTCGACTTTAAATAAAAACAAATATTAACTCAGACATCCTCCAAGACTTTCCCCATCGGCTCTTTGATTTAACTGCCTGCATTCAGCTACAGCTTGGAGGTACCAACCACCCGATGGCACACCTGCGTACCTTGAGTTGAGAGGAACATATAGCGCAGGAGATCCCCGTTCGACTCGGGGTCGGGTCTGGTGCTGTGTCCCAGGTCTTTTTTTGGTCATTTCCCCGGCCCCTTTCGCTCCTGTTTCCAAAGTTCAAACCTCATGCATGCTCTGGGCGGGAACGCTGGAAATTTTATCCTGAAGTTCAACAGTTCTCGGCGATCACCTCCAAATTAAGTGTCTGTCATCCAAGGCCACCGATGACCCCTACTTATTCCCAACCACTGTCCAACCGCCGCAGGTTTTATTCCATGGATTCGACCACAGCTTGAAGGTGTTTGACCACCCGGTTGCACACGGTGTGCACCTGCACTGTATAAATCTGTTGGGAATGATCAGACAGGAGTCCCTCGTTCGACTCGGGGTCGGGTGATAAGTAGATGTTCACTCTATTTTTTTTGGTCCTCCACGCTTTCCGCCTGTCTCCTGTCTCTCTGAAGCTTCACACCATTCTCCCAGAAATATTTCACTTTAAATGATCTCTTAATTAATACTATAGAGCTTCAACCAGTGTTCAACTCCGGAGGTTTCCTCGCATAAACTCAAGTCCAGTTTGAGGGTATCTAACCACCCGATAGTACACGGTGTGCACCTGCCTCTGATTTCAGGGCAAAATATGAATACTTATAGTGCAGGAGTCCCCCGTTCGACCCGGGGTCGGGTGCTGGGTTGCTATCACCGCCTTTTGTTTTCTTCATAGAACTTTTTGGTCTGCTGTCCCTGTCCCTGTTCTCTGTGTAATACCATTCACCTACCACGTTCAGCTGCAAAATCAATATCAACTCAAACTTCCTTTATCATGACCAACTAAGATTCCAACCTAATTTCGTTCACATACATTCAGCCCCCAAAGAGGGTACTTAACTACCCGATAGCACATGGTGTGCGCCTGCGTACCTTAACTCAGAGCAGCATGATCTAATGCAGGAGGGCCACGTTCGACTCGGGGTCGGGTACTGGGCCTGTACGACTGTAACCTTTTTCTCCCGTGCTTCCTTTTATTTATTTACTTTGTCTGAATCGCCTATTCTCTGAGGATACTCAAAATTATCAAACTGATGGATTCAACGAACGGATGAACTCAGATATCGGGTTTGAGTTGTACCCGTTAATTTATCCAGCCCAACTTTTAGGTACACCTTCTAACAAAGTAGCTAACCACCCGATAGCACACACGGTATGCACCTGCGCAGGTTAAATGACCGATGTCCTCCCCAATTAGAGCAGGATTCCCCGTTCGATTCGGGGTCGGGTGCTGCTGCTTTAACTTCGTAAAGACCTTTTTCTCCAGGTTTCCTTTTTCCTCGTCGCCTATTCTCAAGACAATCAAACTGCCATTGGACGCCTCCCGCACTCGAACTCAAATATCGAGTTAAACCGTTACTTTAAATTATCCAGTCCACTTGCAGTGCAAGCTATTCCCCTTTTCTTTTGTACAACTTTTGCTCTCCGATAGATCCCTGTCCTCTCTTTGGCTAGAAATCGTCCACGTATGTAATACTGAGTGCAAAAATTTAATATCAACTCAAACCTCGACTAAGACTTTGACAACTGGCTGCTACCTACCTGATTTCACTCACATAAACTCAAGTCCAGCTTGAAAGTATTCAACCACCTGGTAGCACACGGTGTGCACTTGCGATGTTTGATCCGAGAATCCTTTGTATCGGGCAGGAGTCCCCGTTCGACTCGGGGTCGGATGAGTAAGGTATACTTCACTTTTTTTCTCCCGCGCTTCCTTTTATCTAATACTTCGTCGCCTGTTCTTCCAGGACTCAATTTGGATCAGGAGTCCGGTCCTCAGGTTCGACTGCCCATCATCTTGATTCCTCGTTTAAATTTGTATCGCCCACCTGTACAATTTCATTTACATAAATTCAACCACAGCTTGAAGTTCCTCAGCCACCCAATGGCACCCGGTGTGCGCCTGCGCAGATTTAGCAACTTGAGATCATTTAAGCAGGAGTCCCCCGTTCGATTCGGGTGGTTGTTTTCCTTTTCTGCACTGTTTATGTGTAATCGTTCAAAATAAGACAGGAGGTCCTTTGTTGGATCCGTGGTCGGGTACGGGCTGGGATCAATATTATGCCTTTTTTTTCCCCCCCTTCGCAGACCTTTTGTCCCGTGCAAGACTAGACTCTACTCACTTACCATGTTTGCCAAAAAAAAAAAAAAAAACAACTTTATCACAGTTCGACAACTGGCTGCTACCTACCTGATTTCACCCACATAAATTCAACGAGGTATCAACCACCCGGTCGCACACGGTGTGCACCTGCGCAGTTTCAAACTGGCATCGCGCAATAAAGCAGGAGCCCCGTTCGATTCGGGGTCGGGTGATTCTGCGCCAATCTCTTTTTTGTCTTCTTTTTGCGCTCCGTGAAGATAATTAACTCCAATGCTTCAAGTTTACACAGGTCAGCTCAGCAACCCCACTGAATATCACCCTCAGGCTCTCAAAAATCAGAGCTTGTTTTTTAAATTTGTATCGGCCATGCACAATTTCGTTCACATGAATTCAACTACCTAACAAAGTAGCTAACCACCCGATAGCACATGGTGTGCGCCTGCGTAGCGCTAATCCGGCCTTCCGGAATATCCCCCGTTCGACTCGGGGTCTGGTGATGTTTGGGTATCATCGTAATTTCTTTTTGGGTTGGTGCTCTCTTATATATATATCCCCGCTCTATCTGCACAGTTATGATTAAATTCGCAATGCTTTTTTACACTGCAAAAATTTAATATCAACTCCAACCTCGGGTAAGACTTCGACTATCCGCGACCTCATTTATCACATATATTCAAGTCCCAAACAGGGTAAGCAACCACCTGATAGCACATGGTATGCGCCTGCGCAGGTTAAATTGCTATGCTCGGTCTTTAAGCAGGAGTCCCCCGTTCGACTCGGGGTCAGGTCATGCGCCATCAAGTTACAAGTTAACATTTTTTTTTTGGTAGATCTGTTTTGGGCGCTCGTAAAACTTCCGTGCAATAGGAAAAATTAATACCAATTCAAACCTCGACCGAACTTCGACCATCCGCTGCTGTACCTAATTCAACTCGGATATATATAACTGTCTAATAAGAGCATTAACCACCCGATAGCACATGTTGTGCACCTGCTGTAAATTCCATAGCATAAGGAAATAAGGCAGGAGTCCCCGTCTGATCCGAGCGCGGGAGATAGGTCGTAAATACTGACTATTCTTTTTCCAACGACCCTCCTCTGCAGAATTCGTTGCAAATTCGGTCCTCCGGGATTCAACATCTAAAATTGAACCTCATTGAAATCAACGTATGTACAAAATAAAATGGGCCCCCATCTTCGTTCCCATAGCTTCATCATGTTATCAAGGTACTCAACCAACCGGTAGCACATGGTGTGCACCTGCCGCATATGTGGAGACCGTAATAAGAAATGCAATGTGCAGGGATTCCCCGTTCGATTCGGGGTCGGGTGATGTGTGGACTGAGTCGTTTGTTTCATATTTTATTATTTATTCCTTGAATTATTGACGGAGCCAACTTGGAGACATCTGGTTCGAAAAGTACATACCTTCAGTCCTACGATCCGTACCCTACCTAAATATTTCGCCGGTATACATTCAACTCCCAAACAGGGTATTCGACCACTCGGTTGCACATGGTGTGCACCTGCGTATCTTGTGTTGAAAGTAAGATAATGTAGTGCAGGAAACCTCCGTTCGATTCGGGGCCGGGTGCTACTTTCGTGATTTCATAAAGACCTTTTTCTCCAAGTTTTCTTTTTCCTCGTCACCCTATCCTCAAGACAATCAAACTGACTGCCAGAACTTCCACATTCGAACTCAAATATCAAGTTGATCCTCCATTAATTTATCCAGCCCACTGAGACACTGGTTGTAATGGTCCATGTAGTCTCAAAGAAAGTCAATCCAACCCAACTGGATTTGGGATTTAACGTAGTCTCGTTCGAATACATTCAACCCCCAGAACAGGGTACTCAAATACCCAAACAGGGTATGCAACCACCCGATAGCATATGGTATGCACCTGCGCGGTTTTCGTCCCGACTTGTACATTAGCAACTGATAGAATCATTCCTAAAAGTATTCTGTCCTACACCGAGAAATTTGAAGCGATGTTTCGAGAAAGTGAACACATAATAGCAAATCCAACCCCATTATCAGGATGGTCCCAGGTCGACTCAAATGGAACGGGCGTCCCGCATATAGTGAACTTTCTGCAAACAAGCCAGGTGCTTGCGGTTCGGGTCACAGCTCGAGCCCCAGCGGCGCCCCACCCTTTAGTTCATTTTGAGCAGCAGCACTTGAGATGATGACCGCTTAAAGCATGACAATGCCGGGCCGGTGCCGTGATGGATGCAACCCTTGACCTGAGGCTATGGGACGCAGAAGTGATGAAAGGCTGTTGTGCGGTCTTGCGGTTGCGCCGAATTGTGCCGACGTCGAAACCTGGGGAGGCGAAGGTTGAAAAGCATTTTATCTTTTTTAGTTTAGAGATGAAGATGTGATGAAGAACCTGAACTCGACGCCTATCCGTTGGGTCTCCCAACTATCCCAATAACGGGGCTCATGCATTCAAGTCCTCTCCGAGCACGGCTAAATATAGAATGCAAGGGCGGTTCAACCGCCATCGGGCCACTCGTAACTTAGAATTATGTTGTAGCAAGGTGGGTGTGAGTATTTGGAGAAGTATTGGACGCCATTTTATCTTAATGTTCTATGAGGAATTCCAACTACACGTAATGGTAACGTAGTAGATTGGAAATTCTGCCAAATCGACAGCCGTTCAAACGGGGATCTAAATGATTTGAAACTCCGCTCAGTGTCGGTATCGATCACTAGCATGAGTCTCGAGCTTCTAAGTTCTCGAGCAGAAGCTGTGACTATTTTAGACTAAAATGATTTGATGGCCGTTAATTCAATGGGGATCTAAAAAAAAACTCCGGATGCGAGCCATACAGCAGCATGCTTCCCGATACGGACGTCCCCTAGATCATAGTCAGATACCGATCGCACGCCAACAAACAGCACCTTACCGCGTATCTGTGTAAGGAGCTGCTGTCAAAGATGACTGGTCAATATTCACCGCAAAGGGCATCTGATATTACACGCACAACGCGCTCGGCTTCGGTCATTTGCGACACAGCCAGCACAGCGGTGTGCCGCTTCTCGTCGACGGCAGCAGATTCCAGTTGCAAACGATGTATGCTCAAGTTCAAGTTGAACTGCCATCCGCGTTTCAGCACTTGGGGATGAGCACTAGGCAAGACATAGACGTACACTGAAATCCAACATTGCCTCTTGCAGGAGTCTATCATACTCCTCGATTTGGCCCTTATGATGATCTTGGCGGGCAATCGTTCCCAGATGTTTTCTTTCCTGAGGACTTTGAAGAATTTCTTGATCTCTTTGAAAGCCTGCAAACGAGGTCAATGTCGAGCACTGTAAGTCGGCGGAGCAGGGACATATACCTTTCGATCTCAACCACGCTCTTTTCCACCTCCACCGGGAGTGCAACACCAAAATCCCGTGTCTGGGTCCAGATATCTTGTACAAGCTTTGCGGAACGCTTTGCGACGTGCTCGCATTCCTTCTTATTCCGCTTCACATTCTGAACGTCCAAACCGTGCCCGTTAGCAAGCACCTTGGGAATCACATGT